AACCGGTTGTTGCCCGCACCTCTTGGAATAGATCCGGCCAGGTCAATTCCCCATCTAGAGAATGGTATGGCTGTGCTGACCGGGGTGTAGTTGACGGCTGGTCGGCCAGGGGCCCGTTACAAGTGTTGGCATGTGGTGCATCTTCTAGCCATTTGTGCGCAATCCCGCGCCATCGACGGCCAAAAATAACCTTGGATGACGAGGCGTCAGGACATGCTGAAGGGTCCCTAGTGTGATGAGCAGATGCCGCAATGTACCTCCTCCATTTCCATCTCGGCTTCGTCCTGGTGTAGGCACTGTAGGAGAGTGCCGTTATAGGATCGTTTGTACAACTTTCCGTCCTCGATGGTGTAGCTTGGGGATCTAAGCTTGGCTAATTTGGCTCGTTCGTCGTCCTTGGGTAACTCTCCAGTTGTGATGAAGTTCATAATATCAGATATCCAATCGTCTCGTCGTTTTTGTATGTATAGGACGGGACTGGCATGAATGCTAGACATGCTTAACTCTTCAACCTTTGCTAATTTTGGAGATGTGCTCCGGGGTCTCGGAGCTAAGTTTGGAGAGCATATCAGCCTCAGCATTCTCCACCCTAGGGATCTGAGTGATCTCATGGGTTTCAAATGCCTTGAGCAATTCTGTCGTTGCTTCCCTGTACTGCCTCATCCTTCCTTTTCCTCATAGGAGCCCTCAATCTGACCCACGACCAACTTAGAATCGCACCTGATTCTGATATGCTGTGTTTTGAGGCCGGCGGCTAGTTTGAGGCTGCTGAGGAGGGCCTCATACTCGGATTCATTGTTGGAGACTCTAAAATTGAATCGGATGGCGTAGTATGCCCTGAAGCCTTCAGAGGAGATGAGGACGAGAGCGCCCCCGCATGCTTTGCTGGCTGATGAGCCGTCAGTAAAGAGGGTCCATGTTTCGTCGGGTGTTGGTGGTGGCAACAGCTGATTCCCTGGTTGTGCATTCCGTAACAAAGTCGGCCAAAGATATTCCTTTGATGGATGGCCTCGGGTTGATCTCGATGTGATACTGGCTCAGAAATATCACCCACTTCACCATCCTTGAAGAGCTCGTGGGGCTTCACATCAGCGCACCAAGGGGCTGCTGTGTAAGGACATGTACAAGGTGCACCTGGAAGTAATGCCCCAACTTTTTCACAATATGGACTATGGCAAGTACCGTCTTCTCAATGGGGGAGTATCTAAGCTCTGCCTCCCTCAACGTCTTACTGACATAGAAAATTGCCTTGTGTACACCATCGTCCTCTCGAATGAGTACGAAACTCATGGCCGACGTGCTTACCCCTAGGTAGAGGAATAGAGTCTCGCCGGGAGTGGGCTTAGATAGGACGGGTGGGGAGGCGAGATATTGCTTCATCTCCTCGAAGGCCTGCTGGCACTCCATCGTCCATTTGAAGCCGATGGCCTTACGCATAATCTAATAAAAGGGTAATGATTTCTCATCTGACTTAGAGAGGAAACGGTTTAGGGCCACCAGGCGTCCCGTCAGCCGTTGTACCTCTTTGATGTTCCGGAGTGGTTCTATTTGGATGATGGCCTGTATCTTCTCTTGGTTGACCTCAATCCCTCTTCGGCTAACCATATACCCCAAGAATTTGCCGCCTTGGACGTCGAAGGTGTATTTCTTTAGGTTGAGGCGGAGGTTGAATTTCTTCATGATTTCAAAGATTTCCCGGAGGCCTTTGCGTGCGTGGATGATTGATTTCTTTTGACGATCATGTCATCAACGTACGCCTCCATCGTCCGGCCCAGGACAGCTCTAAATACTCTGGCTACCATCCTTGTAAAGTGGCGCCTAAGTTTTTGAGGCTGAAGGCCATGACAAGGTAGCAGAAGATGCCCTTTGGGGTCATGGAAGCGGTTTTTTCTGCATCATCTTCATGCATGGATATTTGGTGATATCCTCTGAACGCGTCGAGGAATGACATTAGCTCACACCCCTCTGTCTCATCCACCAACTGATCAATGTTGGGGAGAGGGAACGGGTCCATCGGGCATGCTTTGTTCAGGCCCGTGTAATCAACGCACATCCTGAATGTTGGTGGTTTTGGAGCAAGGAAGACGTTTGCGAGCCAGGTGGGGTGTTTTACTTCCTTGATGTGTTTGATGGAGAGAAGGATGGTTACTTCCATCTTCACGAAGTCGCGCCTCTCGGCCGACAGGTAGCGCCTCTTTTGTTTGACGGGGGTGGAGGTCGAGTTGACGGATAGTCGGTGAGTGATGCCTGGCATGTCCTCCGCCCCCACGCGAAGATGATGGCATAGTACCTTAAGACGACCAGGATGGATTCTCACAACTCTTGAGGAAGTTGCCTTCCGATTTTCAGCACTTGCTCTGGGCGAGAGACGTCCAAGGGTATTTCCTCGACATCTTCAACTGGCTCAAGGTGTGGTCTCTCTTCTTCGGTGGCGGCCGTTGTGATGGTGTCAATCTGTTGCTCAGCCTCGTTGATCTTCTTTGTCAGTTTGAGATAGCATGCTCTAGCTATCTTTTGATTCCCCCTGGCATAGCCGACGCCATCCTTAGTAGGAAACTTGAGGCATAAATGCTTCATGGATATGATGGCCTCAAGGTCCTCTAGGGCGGGTCGGCCCCAAATCAAATTGTGGGCAGACTCAAGGTTGACGATGACGAATTCCATATTGATCTTAGCTAAATGGGAGCCATCGCCGACCTCCACGGGGAGGACTATCATGCCTTTGGCGTTGATAGAGTCCCCGTTGAAGCCGGACAATGGCGTTCGGATCAGCTTAAGCAGTGCCTTGTTTAGTTCTAGTTGTCTGAATGTGTCTGAGTACATGACATTGACATAGCTGTCGGTGTCAATGTAGGTGCGATGGATGATGTTGTTGCCTATCTCGCATTTGATGATGAGGGCGTCCCTGTGCGGGGAAGGGCCCGTCGACAGGTCGTTGTCAGTAAAAGTGATTGCCTCAATGCGCTGCTTCTTCGACTGAGGGGACATGAGACACCTCACCAACATAGAGGGACTGGGCCCACTTTTTTGCATTGAGTTGCCGAATCCCCTCTTGTATTACCTCCCACAATGATGTGGATATGATGTTTCTTCGGTTGAGGCTCTTCACATTCTTCTTCGTCACTGAGGATGCCAAATTCTCACTTCTTCACCGAGGATTCCCCTCCCCCTCTGCCGGTGTTCACCCACTTGTTGCTTCGTGGGGCACCTTTAACAAATTGGGGGAGTTCTCCCCGTTGAATCAGATGCTCTATGTGTTTCTTGAGCGTGATGCAGTCATCAGTGTTATGTGTGGTATTGCGATGGTATCGGCAATAGGTTCCACCTTGGTGGACATCATATATCTCTGCTGCGGGACGAGGGTTTTTAGCTACGAGGTCGCTGCTCTCCACGAAGTCTAGGATGACGCTCACCGGATGTGTGAGGGGGGTCCGTGGCGCATCAATCCTGGGACGCCACTGGCGCTTATGCCCACGTTGTCCTTCTGAGCCGGGGCGGGACTGCCTATGTCGGTCCTGCGGGCTGTCCGTCGAGGCATTAGGGTGATTGTTCTTCTTCTGCTGTTACCCTCCGTCCTTCCCGTGGGAATGTAGTTCATCAACATCGGCGTACAATCCACCCCTCTGGAGCGCCTTCGTATAAGATCTGGGCGGTTCAGTTATGAGGCTCCTGGAGAATGGGCTGCTCCGCAATACGCCCTGGAGGAGGACGAGGAGGGTGCGGTCTTCTGCCCCTTCCACCTCGTCTGTTTCCTTGTCCCACCTGTCCAGGAAGCTCCGGAGCAGCTCATAATTAGTTAAGACTTGAGAGTCTCAAGTGATTGCGTCTTCAACCTCGTTCTATAAGCAGTTAATAAAAGGTTTAAGTGAGATACGTTGAGACGAATAAATGAATCTTATGTGGAATAAAAGGTTTAAATGACATACATCAGATTTAACACGTAAATTACAATTTAGGAAAGTCATTTGCGCTATATCACAGACTTAGAGAATTTGATTGCAATTTTTTTAATTGGATGCGTGATTTGCACTTTATCGCCACCTTGGAAAGTTTGGTTGGAGGTTTTTTTAATTTAGAGGTCTATTTGTACTATCGGTGTCAATTATATTTGAGGGCTGATTTAATTTGATACATCTCCCTATCCATCAAAATCAAAATTTAAAGCGATAATGGTCAATTTGGACACTATAGTTACATGTGAATCTCATATTGGACACTAAGGTTTCAAATGGATCAAATGGACACTATGATTACATTTGTATCTCACATTGGAAGTTTCAAATAGATTAAATATAATGTTTTTTTGGTCATTGTTGGACACCCATAAAAAATATTGTATTTGAAAGCTATAAGTAGTTTTTCCCTTTGTTTTATGTACCTAAAAAACTTAATTCATGTATTTAGATTTAGAATATATGATTAGATGTTCCAATTAAGAAAATCTATTATAATGTAATTGAATTCTTTAATATTGTTAAATCAATTTAACAAATTGATATTTCCCAAAGTTCCATAAAAATCATATGAATGAAAAGTCCTAAATATATTTTTAAATTGTTAAATATAAGAAGTTATTAATTACAATCAAATCAAATATAAGAGTAATAATTTTATTAAAAGAAAAAGATAATCATAAGTGAGTGTTCAAACACTATGAATTATGAAACTTTAATTTAATATCCAATATGAGATACACACATAATCATATTGTCTAATTTGATCCATTTGAAACATTAATGTCCAATAACAGATTCTCGTGCAACCATAGTGCTTAATGAGACCCTTATCCCAAATTTAAATTAACCTATGAGAGTAAAAGTTTCACATTACTTAAAAGACTAGAATTTTATCCGATTAATTAATTCAGATTCACAGATAATTGGTTTTCGAAATGTGGGTGTGAGCCTGTGAGGCATGATTGTAAAAAAAATCAATTTTGTCTTATTCCTCTTGTTGGTATCAGACTTCCAGCCACATCAGCAGGCTCTAGATTAGAATATACGCAGTAATACGGGAGTAACAAATTCCCAACGTGCTGAATTTAATCATTTAGAAAACATGGCAATCGAAGAAGAAGGGTGCAACAATGAAGATATTCGGATTTCCCTACTTGGTGGCAATCATAATAAGGGGCAGAATGGAGCTTCATTTCTGGGTTCAGTGTTCAACTTGTCGAGCACCGTCGTCGGGGCCGGAATTATGGCTCTTCCGGCCACCATCAAAGTTCTTGGCATCGGGCTTGGCATTTCCACCATCATTTTCATGGCAGTTTTGACCAATTTCTCTATAGACATTCTTCTAAGGTTTAGCGGGTCAAATAATAATTCATATGCAAGTGTTATGGGTGACGCGTTCGGGAATTGGGGAAGAAGATTGCTTCAAGTCTGTGTCCTCATCAATAACATTGGCATACTTGTTGTCTACATGATCATAATTGGTATGCATATATTTTCACACTTTCAAGATTTTTTCAGTAATTATAAGTTTATGTTTGGGAATTGACACCTTTAGTTCCCTAGTCATATTCTCGTCATACTTTTAGGGCTTGTTTGGTTAGGGAAATTTGGAGGGAAGGGAAGAGGAACGTTAGTTTTTATTTTACTAGTTTATATCTATTTGTCATCTTGAGACTAGAAATAACTACAACGTATAAGATGAGTTGTATGACTTGTGTCATGTATTCATGTATAATTTCTTGTCTATGCTTTATTTCCAACCATCTGAAATTTAGAAAAATGTCACTGTGGCAAATAAGCCCTTAGTCCCCAGACTAACTGGCCCCTCTATTTTCATCCCTTCAATATTCCTCAATTGCGGTTCTTAGTTTTCTTTAGTCTTGAAGCGAAAATTGGGAAACAGATAGAAGTGATCAGTTAACCATATGACAAATGCGTACTAATAAAGTCAAAGAATGGCTCGGGGCTACGAGTGTCATTTAACTGGACATTCCATTTCAAAATTCTAATCATATCATTAGTTGATGTTTTTGTCCTGGTATAATTGTCCACTTTGCTAGGCCACAAACATCATCTTAACTTTGTATTAGTGATAAAGTCCACTTTGGTTCAAACCTGCATGTATTTGTTTATGGCATTTACCAAAAGGACTCAACTATGGAATTGAGTAGACAGTATTCAGGGTGATTCTCCCTTGTTTTTCCAATCATGGACTTGGGTTGCGCCCAACACACTTTCCATTTTATGTTCTCCGTTTCCCCACGAAGTGACTTTGTTCTATCCAGAACTGAAAATCGATAGGTCAATTACCTTAAGTGTGATTTTATATTTATTTAGCTCTTAATGTTCTTATTATTGGCTTTAATGATGAAACTTACTTGTTGGCTTGGGAGTAAAAGGTGATGTGCTATCTGGAACGAGCTCAGATGGGGTTCACCATGCCGGAGTGTTGGAGGGATGGTTTGGAGAACAATGGTGGACTGGGCGTCATTTTCTTCTTCTTGTAATCACTCTTCTGGTCTTTGCTCCATTAGCTTTTTGCAAGCGCATTGGTAGGTTTCATTATATGAATCTTGCAAGGCGTTTCAAGATTCTAACAGTCACCTAATTATCTAAGTTTTAGCTAAGCATCTTAGGAGTGTTTTAACTACCGAAAACCATTTCAAGTAAAACAATGTCACATTAAATTATTGACGGAATGTTTTGATAAAAAATGTTAAAATGGCAGCCTTTTTTTAGCACTTTTTTGTGCGCTTTCTGACCAAAGTGCAAGCCTAACAAAATCAATTTTTTTATTTGACGAAGTAATTATTTTGAACATAAGACTTCAAAATAAGTATTTGAGGAAATACTTCAAAGTGATAATGTTTTCAACTGGTAAACTCCAAATAGTCCATCAAAGCAGTGTTTGGAGACCATAAGGTGCAAATTAAAAAAATGTTTTTTAGGACACTTTATTTCCAACCCGTAATGCACACTTTCAAATCCCCTACACAAACACCCTTGACTTCTTTTTGGACTTCCAGAAAATTAGTTAAGAAGAAGAGGAGGCTCGTTTTTCATTCTTTAAGTAATGCTTCAGATTCCTAATTATGTATCTTATTAACTGCAATCTCTGAACTTGCAGATTCATTGAGACACACATCCGCCTTGGCAGTTGCACTTGCAGTTGTTTTCCTAATCATTACTGCAGGGATCACCATTTATAAGTTGTTCACAGGCGGTATTAAAATGCCCAGATTTCTCCCTAATGTCACTGATATTACTTCCTTCTGGAGACTCTTCACTGTAGTCCCAGTTATCGTCACCGCTTACATCTGCCATTTCAACGGTTAGTCACTTCAACCTTCGTGTAATTGGCACTTCAATAAGCAATGTTGTAAAAAACTCTGTGCTTTTCTGCTAGGCGGCAGAGTAGGACTCATTGCCTATTCTACAGGACCTAGTTGGAAATAGGTATTGTCTAAGTGGGCAGGGGATAGGCGAACTGGAAAAGCCTAGCGACTTGCGCCTAAGTGGGTAGGAGTTAAGGCTAGGTGGGGATTTTTACAACAATGTCCATGAGTATTCATTGATGAGAATCCCACATCAGTCGTCTATTGCATTTGAGTCTAGTATATATGAGTGTGAGGTAAATTTGACATCTTGAGGTCGAAATAATATCGCACCCTGCTCTGATGGAGAGCCCACACTCGGTGGTTTGTGGCGATCTGTTTGAGGTCGATTTGGGCCAAATGTTCACCCCTTTAGTTGTCCACCCCATTTTGGCCAGAGGAGGCGTTTGAAGTATCTCACATTGCTTTCTACTGCGTTTGAGTTTAGTATATAAGTGTTAGGTAATTCTGGCTTCTTGAAGATTCTTTTGGGGCGAGTTAAATGTAACTTAACATCATATTGGACACTGGTCTGGTGGTTGTTTGTGAGGTGCCCACGCACTCGATGGTTTGTGGCAACTGTTCACTACCCCATGTTGGCTTAAGGGGTGTATGGAGACTCTACATTAGAACTCTATATTGGGTTTGTGTCAAATCTACCAGTGTGTGGTAGTGAGAATCCTTTTAGAGTGACTTGGGCCTATTTTAACATTGACAATCGAATAATGGTGTTACTTCTTTTTTCTGCAGTGCATAGCATAGAGAATGAAATGAAAGACCCTCACCGGATACGATCAGTTGTGAGGGCATCTTTGGCAATTTGCTGCATCATATACATCATGACAAGCTTGTTTGGATACCTTCTGTTTGGCGATTCTACTTTAGACGATGTGCTCGCCAACTTTAATTCTGACCTAGGCGTTCCTTTTAGCCATGCCCTCAGTGATGCTGTTCGTATCTCCTATGCACTTCACCTTATGCTCGTTTTCCCAGTTTTGTTCTACCCTCTTCGTGTTAATGTGGACGGTCTCTTCTTTCCCTCTGCAAGGGCTTTGGAGTCGGCTAAGTGGCGTTTTGCGTCCATTAACTTTGGGCTCATTATTGTGGTGTTTGTAATTGCAAATTTTGTTCCCAGCATTTGGGATGCTTTCCAGTTCAGTGGGGCCACTGCAACTGTTTCTCTTGCCTTCATTCTTCCTGCTGCCATTGCATTGAAGTAAGCCAGCTTTTATTGATAGAAATTAGTGTTCACTCTGTTCCATATTAATGTTTTTTTTTAATAAAGAGAGAAATAGGATGGAAAGAATTGGGACAAAAGTAGTAGAGGAGAAAATGAGTAGAAATAGAGAGGTTTGAAAAAAGACAATTTAAATTTTCTTGTAAAAACAAATAAATTCTTTGTGAAATGATCATTGATCCAAATTTTCTCTCTTTGGAATATCAATTAAAATTACTACTAATTTTCCAAGAAGGGGTTGTAGTCAATCATTGTTTAGGCATAACACTATTGTTATGCAAGATCCTAAGACATTTAATGAGTTTCTTAATCGGGAATGTGCATAACAATGTTTAAAAGACCCTGCTAATCAGGAATGTGCATAGCAATCATATGGAATGGAATGCAGAGAGTACTACTATTGTTCTTTTCTTTCTGATTTAATTTAACTAAACACAAAAGGAATGTGTAATTTCCCATTCTCTGACTTCAGGAATGTACCTGGAATAGCCACAAAGGAGGATAAGATATTGTCGATGTTCATGATAATCCTGGCAGTGGCTTCAAATGCAGTGGCCATATACAGTGATGCATATGCTGTGTTCAACAAGAATTCATCCCCAGATAAGTGATTACTGATTAATGTTCCTGTTTATCATCATCTACCCGGGCATGAAGATACAATGGTCAAGGAATATGAAGATTTTTTTCGGAAGCAATGTAATCTTGTTATTCCGAGTTGTATTGTAAAATTAAAGGTACACAGTTTTCGCTTTCTTGCAATAAAAAAATAAACAATCGAGGCTGGCTTCTGATGAAATAATCACTTGCGTCGAAGGACCAAATGCAAGCAATTTTTTAAATTATGGGATCCAATTGAATGAAAAAAGCTGCAACAATAAATGAACAAGCCATTAGTTACTTGACTGCAACTTATTCGATCCATCTTTGCATACAAGAGGGAATCTCTTCCTACTTCAAATGAGATGGTGTATCATCATTTACGCAGCCTAATGTTCTCTTTATTGATGGCAAAAGAATGGGAATGGAAATGAAGTATGTTGAGGGACCTATTTGCACTGGCATTGAGATTCACTGTGAACTCCATTAAGGTAAAAAGGTTTACAACCAAATCAAGAGCCAACAAAATGTTATTTACCCTTGACCAAATTGTTAAATAAATTAAATCACAAAATATTATTTGGTGTCTTTTAAAGAGTTTACATGAACACTTGTGCTTCCCTAAGAAAACAACTTTTCCCTCTACACTTCTCACATGTTCCTCATTTTCTTTTCCCACATCCGGACTGCCAAGACCTCCTATATCTAGTTCTTCTTGGTTCAAAAGGTGGAATCTCCCACCCCAGGAGCCCCACCCCGACCCGACATGATGGTGGGGAGATTAATCACGGCGACTCAGTCAGCAAAGCGATGGTAGACTTTATACACGTGCGCACCAGATGTCCAGCTTTATTTCAGATTCTGTAACCTCCACACGTCCGCTGCGGGTTTCGAACCTTGGTCACTTGGTCCAATTTTCCCACCACTCGACCAACTGAGCTACCCGTGCGCGTATATCTAGTTCTTCTCTTTTTATCAAACATCGTCTAATTTATCGTATTTACTTGGTTTGATATTATTTGGCAAACTACATGTAATTTTAGTCTCATTTTATGAAATATCCTCCTTTTATGGGAAAAAAATGCTTGTGAATTCATTTCCTGGTTTTCCCTCCATTTAACCCAATTAATCCTTTAAGGTTCAAGAACAGGGATTAAAGATGATGTTCCATATGTACACAAAATGGCATAGCTCTAAATAGAAAACTTGGAACAAATATAACGAAATGGTTTTCTTTTTGTGATGTACAAAACTGAAAATAAAATTAGGGTGCATTTAAGGAAGCAGGAGAAGATCTATTTTAAATTCACAATCTGCCATTTCCAACTTTCCGTTGATGTAATTGTACAAATTCTCATTCATCATTTCATCTGTTGTAAAATCACTAACATTTTCTCCCTTTGACAAATTCAAGGCCAAATTTAAAGAGGATATTGTACACCCCAAGCTCAACCCAAAGCGTGTCGAAAATACACCCGAAACCAGGGAGTACACTAGTAGAGAAATGCAAGAAAAGATAGAAGTAAAAGATAAGCAGTAACAGACTTAATTTCTTCAAGAAAATTGACACCTGTGACCTACATAAAACTTGCTTTATTCTCTTAACTGAATCCACATGATAGTGCTGGGCAATGTGGGTATAAAACCATCATGCTGCAACATCGTTCTAGTCACCTAGTGATGAAAATGAAGAAGCAAATAGGTGTAACGCCGACTCATGTGAAACGTCAAATTTTATAATCTTAATAGTATGAAATTAATTGGAAAAGGCAGAAACACTGATGAAATTTTATATCTTTATGGGATGCACCATTCTCAATGTCCATAGGCAGAATCCCACCAATGATACCAACGCCCTTCGGCCGTAATTTCCTATCCACATGAAAACCATGATACTTGAAAACGTGAGCCTGGTAAGCTAAGAATAACTTTGTTTAATCTTCCGTCTGGGTCGGCCCACAATAACCATCGCGATCGCTTTCCTCGTCTTCTGTCTTAGCCACCTTCTGAAGTGGTGAACCATCGTCTTCCTTAGAACTCTCCTCCTCCTCTAGTGCCTCCGCCTCATCCTCAAAGGCTCAAACCCCGAATCGTAATAAATCGGAAGCAGATTCGTGGTTGGCATCTTCAGCCTACTGGATCTGTTCATGTCTTGCTTATTATTGTCATTATTATATACGGAGTATTACTATAGTAAACAAAATATGGTCAAAATAAGGTACATATATAGTGCAAAAGTCATGATGTTACAATTATCATCAAATCATGATGTACTCCACATTAGGCTGATGTACTCATATCACTCTTCTTGTGTATCAGTTATTCAGTTATTACTTATTCCTATTTTAATTAGTTCAGTCATCAAATTTCAAAATTATATCACATTATTTCAAAAAAATTGAGTGTGAGAAAATACATGGAGTAATAATTAATTTATCCTAAATAATAGAAATTTCAACTGTATTATAGTTGTTGGTCCAAAATAGGACGCTCGTAGGCTTTTAGGAAAGCTACGTACGACACTCAAACAGGAATCAAGAAACTAATATGAATAAGGAAAGTCGCAAAGGGAATTTGGTAGCCAGAAATAGCATATAGAAGTTGTCTCCTAATCTGAATTACAACCCGCCTTTTATAAGCGTATACAAATCGTAACCGCTACCGATAACAATGACTAATTAATTACAACATTAATACGGAATTAAATACATAATTAATAGCACATTAATTGCTTGACTGTTACTCTTCCGGACTGAGAGGTCGGTCGGACTAGCAGGCTCCCCGCTGGACTGGCAGGCAGGCTCCAGGTTGTGGACTTGGATCCACGGGTCCAAGTTCGGGGCTTGGGCTGATTAGGCTCTGGCCCTAGTTCCATAACTCCATCACGAGTCCCCCACTCCCTTAGTCGAGTATTAGACTCGGCTAAGAGGGAGTAGTCCAAGTCAGGTTCTCTTCTCCGAGACTAGAAGATCCCCGCCCTTGTCCATGTTGGGGAGATGCATCATTAAAAAACTTCATTAGGAAAAAACCCAATGGGAAAAAATCCTAATGAAGGGAAAAAGAGTACATCTGACGCCCCCAAGATGAAGCAAGAGGTGATATCCTCAACCTTTATTGCAATGGTCGCCATCTGCGAATAGGATGTCCATAACTGTTCTTCTCGTCGGGCCTAGACTCGTCAAGTTCGTCATTTGCTTCCTTGAAGACGGTAAGACCCTCGGTCCCCCACTTCATTTAGTTGTACCTACACATAAAAGAAACTAGTGTAGAATAGAGCATCCGGCCTGGTGTCGAACCACGACTCGATGTGTAAGTAAGTCGGACTCACTACTTGAAAAGAGTGACATCATGTTCCCAAGTTAGGCCTCAACCCAGTCTCTGAAAGAAAGATTGAATCCGCGAGTAAGTGAGTCGGACTCCTCACTCGAATGGATAATCCAACCCCAAAGAACTAAAGTATATCAACCTTTTCGAGAAATGTGAATGTCAATTAAGTGACAAAATTGCTCGGAAGAGCGTGGCTCTAGGCCCCTAATAAGAGTTTAACTCGCCGCCCGAGGTTAGTAGTTCGAACCCGCAAGTAAAAACTTTTGAACGGGTGACTCGTCCCCCGAGGTCGGAGTGTGATGCACTTGGAAAGGGTAAGAGCACGCAAGAACTCGTATGAAGTCAAGAGTGTGCGGTATTAACATTTATATTGGAGCTTATTAATCGCCACACCCATATGACGTGACCCGGTGGCGCGAGTGTGTGTGCTCGGTCAGTGTACGAGTGTGTGTGCTCGTCCGGTGTACGTGAGTGATCGGATTTCATAAGCCCATTTTTCAATGTTAAAATTACACACGCTTAACAAGAGTAAAAGCAATTAAACCACTTAAAATATCTTTTCAAATGTTTGAATTTATGATTTTTTTTGTATCAAATATATAGGATTTTTGGAAACTTAGCTTTAGAACCTTACGGGCCCGAATGCGTTGCTGAAATTTCAGCCCATCATCCTTGAGGAGAATCAAATTTGGTCTTAGTGTAATCTTGGTCCATCCACTTTAACGCAGAGCAGACTCTTGCTCCATAAGAATTAGGTGGGCGCACATTTGAAGGCATATCTCATGAATAGGCGTGGCGATGAGGGAGACCAGCAGCGACGTCGGCGCACGGCATCCAGCTGTGATTGGCGAAGAGAACAGGAGGAAGTGGAACTGTAGCACCTTGGATTGGGATGAATTTCTTGAATTTTTCCTACTAAAGTGATGTGAGAGATCAATAGAGGCTCTCTATGAAAGCACCAATGTTGGTAGAAAATGTGTTGAGTAGAAAATTCGGCAGCAATTCAGTACAGTAAAAGTGACTTATCCAATACAACAAGAGGGGCGGCCTATTTATAGGCGCTTACAAGAGGTTTCTTGAATACTAATGGGCTTGGCCCAATTAAACAACTAAAACAAGAAGCCTGATCCCAGGCCAATGGGCTGGTCGGGCCCAGAGTTAAACTAATCAATCCAAGGACCATATTATCTAGTCGGACCGTGTGCTGGGCCTGGTTCGCGCCCGAGCCCAGGCATATTGGGTCGATAGTATTGGACCTGGCCCATTATCCCAACAATAGTGTAAAATAAGTTTGACTAGATTCTAACCATTAACATTGTTCAATTTTAAAAATTAAAACCACAGCAAAACGGCATAGTCCAAAATACAGTAAGACTGAACGGAGGGGAGTACTAAATTGCCACCGTAGAGTATAGACTAGACTCTAGAGTGATCGAAAGAAGAGATGGACATGGACTAGTCCTAAATTGCCAAATAAATTGAAAGTTGTCACGTTGTGCATGTGCGTAGCAAGAATGTTGCTCCTTATTGGTCTGTAATTCATATCATTTAAGCAAACTCCGAGATTATTGGATTCATTCCAATTTATCGGGAAATATTTGAACTTGCCGTTTATTTGAATTTCCAACAAGTGAAAATTTTGAATTTCCAACAAGTGAAAATTGTAGCAACAACGCTTCAGTGTAAGTAAGCATTGAACTCTTAAACTTCAGGTGGAATAAATGTGGTACAAAGTACAAAAAAATGGTGGTCATTTAGCAATCTGTGAAATCTGAATACCAGACCTCTTCAAGACCTTGTGAATGATGCTAACCATTTTCTTTTCACGTTGTCTCTTAGAATCACAGGAATCTAAGGCTAAAGCAATCAGTATATGTAGCCGCTGATTTCAAGTGATCACTTCCCTAGCAGCAGTAGTATGAAATATGAATGAAGGCTGCGTATAATTGTATGGAGATTGCCACAAGTAGTATTGTTACGACTTACGAGGGCAAACTAGATTCATGTCATGCTTTGTTATGAAGGCAAACTAGATATTTAAACTAATTTTATTTATTACTCCTTAATTTCTAATTTGAGGGTTGTGACTTGTGGTTAGTTTGCGGCTAAAACTAGATTAGTTCACAGCCCATCCAACTATCCAAGTATCTCATTGAATGACAGGCTAGTAATTCAATCTTGAATTAAGTCATGGAAACTAAACAATCTTCGGATCCCAATCTAGCAAGTAGCCAATTCAAACGGCACTCAGGGCCAGAGATGGCATGTTATTAGGGAAAAAGCCTAGTAATTCAACAGTCGATATTAGACACGTCTCTGAACAAACACAGAGATTGAGCAGCTATCTACATAAAGTTTTTTTTTGTGTTTTGGGAGTCCCCAAATTATTTATCCAACATATCTTCTCAGTAACAAGGCGAAAGGAGAGGAAAGAAAAAGAAAGAAAGAAAGATGTGTAACAAATAAATGCAACCAAGTCTAACCCGCTTCCCCCCAAGCTTGCTACCCTCCAGCAATATTTACAAAAAAGGAGAAAACAGCCCTACTAAAACACTACTGCTCCTTACTGCCTCCATATTCAGGGGAGATAGGAATCTATCTTTTCTCTTGCTTCAACAAGCCTGGAAATTCTTATTACTACTCCCAGTGTGCACTAATAAGTGAGAGACAGTAAAAATGCCTCAAAACTGGCATGAAGTTCCAAGCCTCTGCCTCTGCCTCTGACCAAGAGTCACCGACTTCCTCTTCCCAAAGGCTGGTGGCAACAGCTCTAGAAACTTCTCTAGAAATACCCCCCACTCTTCCTCGTTCATATCTGACAGCTTGACAAAACTGGCACTCGCGGGAAGCTGCTCATTTGCACTACGGTGACCAGAAGATGATGATGAGCTCTCTGGCTTTGGTCCTCCTAGCAAACTGGTTTTCTTAAGAGAAGTGGATAGCTTTAAAACAGTTGCATTCTTGGTGGAAATCTTCTTCTCTTCCTCGCAGCTCTCCTCTTCCTCCTCAATGCTTTCATCCAGTTTTGACAGCGAAGCATGAAAATGATTCTTGCTTGTAAAATCAGAGAAGGGCATTTTCGGATTAAAATAGAGTTCGGTGATATCTTCTTCATAATCTATCTCGAACTGAAACTCATCATCGTCAACTACAGAACCAAGTGCGGGGAGTAATTCCTTCTCAGCAACCAGCCTTCTAGCCTCGATGCAAACAACTTCAAGCTCACTTGGTTCCTCTTCGCCACTACGGAATTCTCTACTCATCATTTCACCAATCTCAGCAAGGCACAGTCCATAGGAAGCTGCTTCCTTGAGGAAAATGGTGGACAGGGTCAAGACTCGAAGACAGGCTTCACGAATCATAGGTAGCTCGGTTCGCAGCATCTCAGAGTCTTTTATAGGGTCAAGTCTATCTATATAGTCAAGCTCATCATCAGAGAATGGAATGGAAGCCTGTGGCCAATGAATCCACTCAAAATATGGATCCTCCAAGTTTTCTGGTAAACACAGCCCATGATCAATGGGAATTAGTTCCACCTGACCAAACCCACCAATACCATCAAGTTTCCTGACTAGAAGATTTCCGGCATGTCTATCTGTGTTAAAAATCCTAACATCTAATATCCCAATCCGGTGCACAGCAGAAACCGGGAAGCTTGAGGTTCCATGGTCGCTGGCATCAAAATCATGAGGGATGAACTGCTGAAAAGATGCAATCTTGCTAACAAAACGCTTCTTCTTGTTGTTAATATGCTTGTTTCCATTCACACCATCGTTCACATTAAATATTGAATGTGTGATTTTCACCAAAGCTGTTGGTGGGACATTGGCAAAATGATCATAGTCAAGAAGATATGCAGCAACCTCTCTGAAACCTGTTTCACCAACCCTAACTGACCGTTTCAAGCCAGGCTGCCCAAGACCTTTTCCCACAAATCCTTTTGGGTTGTTGGGAGCATAGGGTTCTTCATCTGTTGGCTTCACAATAGCAACGCTCTCCCCTCTGCTGTTTCTAAAATAGTACGCTCCTCCAAGTCCACCGTTGACGGGAAGGGGTTCAACTCCTGCCTTCATTGCCTTAACAATTTCCTTGACAGTCTGTTTTGTCTTTGCAAAGCTGCTAGAGTTCCCCAATATCTCAATTGGACCACTCCAATCCCTGTGTTGGATATCCCTGCCGGTGGGAGAAAGGCAGGGTGTTGATGAACTTCTATGCAAAGTGTTCCTAGTCAAAAGTAGAGGGGAATCATTCCGAATTGCACTGAGATCATTGTTCAAAACCATATCACCAAAAGTCAAAGAACTCTCCTCGATTGGGAAATTGAGGGCAATCTGCAATCTCCTTTTAACAGTATGTGCATTGTCACTGCGATCTAGCTCCATGCCCAGAACACATCCAGAATCTGTTTGAATGAATACGCGTCTCCTTCCAGTCGTAGGTTTTCCATCCATCCTCTTGTTTACAGGGTATTCCCCAACAAGTGGGATTCTTAAGGGTACCACGGCCATCTGGGTCTGAACGGGACTGTCCAAGTTAGGAGACATCATAGGACAAGAGAAAGAAGGATCTCACAACCGGCAACAGAGATGGAAACTGCAGAGAGTAGCCTACCCCGCACTCTCAATTGAGAGCCCAACTCAGAAGCCGATTGTGATTGAACCAAATATTCACTCAATCCAGAAACAATCATTCAAAGAGGCACACAGGTGCAAAGCAAAGAAAATCAGCGATTTGGCAAAACAGCTGATGACAGGGGACAGAAAATCAGAAGAGAGGAAGCGAACGAATCCCAATAACTACATTGAAAGATCCATCTGCCTACAGAAGACTGAGCGAGAGCTCCAATCTGTAAAAAGAGAAAAAAGAATAGAAGCAAAAATAATCTTATCAGAGCTAAGAACATCTAAAATCTAATTCAGACTCGAACAATGTTTAAATCCACATATCGAACCCAGAAAGGTCTTCAAGCTTCCAAGAAAATTCATGAAAGAAAATTTATTTAAAAAAAGGGCGTGACACTTGCCGGCCAATGAGCAGCAGGAAAGCACAATATAATCGCAACCTACGATACTATTCCTAGTGGTGCTTTTTTCATCTACTTAATAGTAGTACTACGTACTTAGCGACTACGACTAATCAAGCGTTACTCAAAAGCTCCATAACATTACACGGAGTAGAAACAATTCCAATCCTGTCTGTGTAATCAATGCTGACATTATTCATAGCATTTAAACCGTATTTACCGAAATACAATTCAGATTCGTTTTCACTAAAAAAGAAAACAAATAAACACGCAATAATAATCCTAAAATTATACCTAATGACATTTTTAGCAAATGAAACCAAACAACCTCTTAACTCCCGCATTCATAGCGAACCAACCGGCACTCAACAGGCGATCGGAAAAAAACCAAACGGTGCAGAAACAAGATGAGTGAACATACTCACCTAAAGATCAGATCTGAGAGACAGATGAAGGATCCGATAGTTTGCCCCTTTTCCGGCCCCCGGAACTCAGAACACGGAAACTCAACGTATACAGCGCGGAAACAGCAGAGTGAGGATTCGCGGACAGGTACGGCCGTACGAGCCAAAAGAACCCTAGTTCTCCAGTCCTTGGCGGCTGGCGATGGTTTTCCCTCTCTAAAATGTTCGTTCAGTTCTCTCTATCTCTCTATACGTCTATATCTAGACGAAGATAACTTCGGCCCTCTCTGTCTGTATAAATATTGAAGTAAGCAGTGGATTTACATCCAATCTCGCACTAGAAATAACAGTGAAGGAAATGCAGAGCGTAAATCATGGTTAGATGGACGATAACCATGGTTAGATATTGTTACAGTGGCTTGGAGGAAAAGTCTAGAACATGAGCTGGGCTGCCGTTGGATCTGAAAAAGACGGACGAGATTTCGGGCGGAAAAGGGTCAAAGTGACGTGGAGATAAGGGAGTGGTGGGTACCCCGTGTGGGACCAGTTTTAATTACACGTATCTTCAGCCAATTACGGGGAGCTGTGGTAACTTGTACGGAGCATTTGCCGGAAAATCGGAAATGACCCCTTCCTATATCCTTTTTACCCTTATCTCCTTTTTTTTCTTTTTATTTATCGTGCATGTTTCCCCGACCAATCCTGTCTTAATTTTAGTCGCAATTTGATTGCCCAAAAAATAGTGGTGCGTTACCTTACCACTCCAACCCAGATTGGTCTGGGCATTCTTGTACATATTTTTTACAACTTCATAGTCATACATACCAATGAAAAAATAATATGGGTAAAAGATAGTGTAAAAAATAGCTGAGAGGGGAGAAGTAAGAAAAGGCTGATGAAAAAATATTAAAAAGTAATAATAATTGAGTTTTTGAAGAGTTAATTACCTGAATATGACAAAAAAGTGGCTCAAAAGCACAAATAGGACTATTTATGTGTGTTTGGACAAAATACCCCTGTAGCTTTTAAAAAACGTAAAAAAATATAATAAAAATGTAGAAAAATAATAAAAAATTATACAATGTTAATAAAAATAAAAAATTAAAAATATATATATAACGTAAAAAAAAGTTGCCAATCTGCCAGCACCAACAGCTCCCATCACCTGTTAGAAATCTGCCAACATTTTTAGTAATGTCATAATAATGGTAAATTCATTGACAATTTTGGTATTATGAAGAGTAATAATTCCATTTTCAAGGGAAAATGGCATTTTTTACAAAAAAAAAGACAGAATTTTTGCCGATCAGAGGTGGTGGTGCTAGGGGCGGTGGGAAAGGTATTCATATTTTTTATGGGTTTTACTATATTTTATTAATTTTAAAAAAATCAAAAAAAAATATTTTAGTTTTTTTCTTATAAATATATTACTCCCTCCGTCCCGTTGGAATGTTCCCATTCTGTTCACACTCCGCTTATTTTTAGTAAATAAAATTTACATATTCAGAAACTACATTAAAATCGCTACAAAGTCTGATCAAGAAAAGTTCAATTTGTTAAAAATTTGATATATAAAGTAAAAGATTAGGAGTGACCTAAGTTGACCAATAAATAGTGAATGGGAACATTCCAACGGGACGGAGGGAGTATTATTTTTTATTATTTTTTACGATTTTTTAATATTTTTAATGATTTTTTATTATTTTTTATTATTTTTTGAGATTTTATTATAAATTAAAACATTTCATTATGAATTAATACCATTCGGTGTATTTAGGGTAGAAATCAATGTTTATTCCCTTTAAAATGTTCCTGTTGGGTAAGTTTTTTAGTGGCGGTCAATGGAACGTTGACCGGTTGACTACGGGACGATCGACACCGGTTGATATTATTTACTTGTGAATTGATATGAATGCATGGCTTTGCATGGAGTGGTATATTCATAGGCTTTGTGGATTAATTTAGCCTTGTATAAATGATTATGATATAGGCCTTATTTAGGTTGAAATAAGGTAGATCATAGGGATATATTTGGTGGAAAACCCAAGGACTAAAGAGTCCTCAAAACTCATATATACATCGGTGGAGGACCCAATGGCTAAAGAGCCCTCAAAACTCGAGAATACATATGGTGGAGAACCCAAGGACTAAAGAGAACTCAAAACTCGGAATATATGAATATTTCGATGGAGAATCCAGGGACTAAAGAGTCCTCAAAACTCATATGTATATTGGTGGAGTACCCAAGGATTTTGGTGTCCTTAAAACTCATAGATTTTTATTAAAATTGTGGAAAAGGAGGAGTCCTATACACTCATAGGTATATTGGGGGTTGGGGTTCTAAGTCAAGGACTTGACTACTATTTTTACCAAATAAATGTTAACCTACAGGTTAAGTATTTTTTCAAGTGTATATACTTATATGTATTTCAAGACTTGGGTAAAGGGATATAAGTATATGTATCACCCTATGTTTGGGTCTTATACTTGAAACATTAGTTATGTTTCATTTAGCCTGCTACTCTACTTGTACTGACCCCTTCGGGGGCCCCCACCATTTTCAGGTTGAAGTTAGGGCTTGCTACCTGCACCTTCTACGGGTGACATCAACTCTAGGAAGACGTGGTTCGTGCTTCCTTATTTTCTTTCCAACTACCAAACAATTGCTCATGGATATTTATTTGTTATAAACTATTTTAGGGCTTGCATGCCCATGTCTTGGCCGGTTGTGATGTATGATTTACCGTTGAATATTTCCGTTATTCATTGATTTAACTATGATGTTGATATGTATGTTTACTACTGAGTATGGATGGATTATTTTCTCTAACGCCTTGTATGATTAAGTGAAGTTGACTTACGAGTGACGTCGTTTGATCATACGACGGTTGTACATGTGCTTAGATACGGTCCGGGACGTGACAGTTCTTCACCTGTTCTTGAGTTCCCCTGCGTATTTTGCTTTCTCTCTTTAGATCTAGTGTTTAGAGACTTTTAGGAAGCTTTCTCTCCTCACATCCCCTTCGCTGTAGACCTGAAGGATGTCCTCAGCGAGTGATTCTCAAGATATTTCCGTGGAGGTCCCAGTCCAGTCAGAGAGCTACTCTGATGTAGAGTTCTCGAGCGAGCTGCCTTCGGCGAGTAATGATTCAGCCATGGGCAAGAGGGTGCATGACAACCTTCGGACTGAAGCGGATGCTGAAGAGTTCAAACAAGTGGTTGAGGACGAAGAGATGGTCCTCGCCCTCCAAGTCGCCGAGGAGGAGGAGGAAGAGAAGGAGAGGCAGAAGGTTACCATAGTTGTCCTTCCCCCGCGCAAATGCCGGTGAGGCGAGTAGCTCCCGGACCCTCAACCCGGAACCTCTAAAGGTGGCCTCAGGTAGGAGGAAGAAGAAGATAAGGGTTGCGCCGAAGAAGAAGCAGGCCGTTGTTGACGCTGGGCAGCCGGCGGGTATCCCTGAAGGCCACTCGTACCTGAATACTGTTTCCCTGGAGGTGAAGACGAGGGCAACGCATGCTGAGTATCAAGCTACACAGTTCTTCACCGACCCTTCGACGCACGTGGTTGAACCGGGGCTAGACAATGTACTGTTGCGTGCACCCGAGGGATGCTTTGTCGTCCACATACTGTCTGTAGAATTGGGGCTCCGGTTTCCGCTCCACCCATTCGTGCTCGAGTACCTGAGGTTCGTGAATCTGGCTCCCTGTCAGTTGACACCTAACAACCACTCTTACGTGGCTGGATTTCTTTCCCTATGCCGGAGCCGGGGGGTCAAACCCACTCTAGACCAGTTCTTCCTTTCTTTTAATCTCTGCCGAGGGGGACATTCAAACGCTAGAGGCTTCACCAATTTGTAGTAAGTCCTGGAGTTCAGGTTGTTCGACGATGTTCCTTCGTCCCACAAAGGATGGAAGGACAAGTTTTGTTATATCCGCATGACAGAGAACCCCTTCGCTGCCCCTCTTCGTGATAGCTTCCGGAGGCACCTAAAGGTAGGGAGCGCTGCTCTAGAGAAGAATGGGAGGAAGCTCTCCAAGAAGCCGGAGGGGTCGATAAGTATGTGACGATTAAAGATGCCACCCTCCCGGATGAACTATACAATCTGAACTTCCGCTGATACCGGCTGGTGGGGGAGAAAGATGAAGGATACCCCCCTTCCATAGACTGTGTCTATGAGAGCACCGGAGGTGATTCCCGAAGGCCTCTCTTTTTGTACTTGGCGATTTCCTTGATTTCCTTGTGTTTTGTTATTGTAGTATATCACCTATATGCTTTTCCTTGTTTTGCAGGGAGGCCATGGACGTGAGATCCTTCGTCGGTCTAAAGAAGAAGTTGGCCAAGGAGCCAAAGAAGAAGGAGACGAGGACCCAGAAACCCGTCGATAAGTTCTTCGTGAAGGATGGTGAGCCCTCATCACAGTTCCTGATGCCTTTGCTGGTGTTGAGGCCGGAGTTACCGAAGCCGCGACTGCAAAGAGGAAGGCGTCGGGCAAAGCCGTGGTACCCGTCGGGAAGAAGCAGAGGAAAGGGGATGCCGCGAAGAAGGCTACCCCCGTTTTGTTTGTTGATGAACATTCCTTTTCTGAGCCCTCAATTGTGACGGCGGCGACCTCTTCCCACCCCCCTTCGGAACAGATGGGTTAGGGGGGCTTGCCCCGGGAGAATGTGCAGTTCTCCATCATAAAGGGGACTGCCATCATGCATGGCATCGTGGACCCGAAGGAATTCCTGAAGGGTGTTACCCTTCAGCTGGATAACGCAGCCCTCAGTCGGTATGAGGATGACGCCCTCGAGTCTAAGATCCTCCGTGCTTCTCTTACTGTAAGATTCCCTACGTATCTTTTTTCTCCTTAGTCAATTGGCCTTCGCGTATTTTGCATAGTAGTCTAATCCTTAACGTTTGCTTACAGGCTTGCATCGGTCTCGGCGAGCAAATTCGGAGGGTGGAGAATTTGCGCCTCCAGAAGGCAGAGTCTGACGAGACTTTAAAGAAGCCCGTCATAGACAATGCTGTCGTCGTGAGGCAGATGGCTAGATTGGAGGAAACCCTCCGGTAGACCACCGAGGGGATGGAGCGGAAGCTGGAGGCTGCTAGGAAAAAAGTCAGGCCGAGAGCAAGGCCAAAGTTGAAAAGGCCACTGCCGAAGCTGCCAACACTGCTGCCGAGGCAGCCAAGAAAGAGGCCATCGCTCAGGATGGGAGGGATGCCATTCCCGCCTTCATCGTTGATGGTTGGAAAGCCGGGGAGTAAAATCAATGGTTGGCCTCAGTAGTAGAAGGGTCTCTTGTTGATTGGGTTGGCGGCCCCGGAGCTGGGTGGTTGGCTCGGAAGGTTAAGGATTACTATGACGGGGGTGAGTTCTTTACTCAAGCCCTCGTCTATCAGAGGCTTGCCCGACATTACGGGTTGGACCCAAAGGAGTTCAATCCGGCAACCTATGGCCTTCCCCCCCCCCCCCCCTTCAGCCAGACGTCCGCATCCCCCTCCTCCGAGTGTCGAGAGGCCGGACCTTGAGGATTCCAAGCTGATGCGAGAGGGGCAGGATGACAAGGAAAAGACCAGGGAGGATGCTGTCTCAAAGCCTGTTGAAGAGAGTACTCAAGTAGTAGATACTTAGGAAATTTTCCTTGGTGTTTTATTTTGTAATATCTTAGCTGGCCCTCGGCTTCGGTCGTGCCTGTAAACAATATAAACTTCTGCCCATGAATGTTTTTAATGACTGCCTTTGATGTCTGAATTCGATCTTGGATATACATGAATGCCTTCGCCTTTCTTTTCATTCCCATGTATGACCCCCTTACTTTTGTATGAGAATGTATGTTTGCTTTGTGAATCTTCGAGAGTAGTCCGAGGGCCGAAATGATTCGGACTCAGAAAATCTTCTAAGGGAAATAATTCACCACAGAACCCTCGGTCAACGCCTTCCTTTATTCGCGTGGAATAGCTAGCCCTCGATTTATAACCAGTTTCAGGCAAATTCCCCTTAGTAAAATCTGATGTGCCAGAGGCTTCCAAAACGTGGACTTAGCCAAATTTAGGCCATTTGTAGAATAGAAGCCTTTAGTGTTGGCTGATGTGCCGAAGGCTTCCCAAATGTGGACTTTGTCAATTTTCTCGTTTGTAGAATCGGAGCCTTTGGTGTTGGATGTTGGTGCTGGAGTCTTTCAAAACGTGGACTTGGTAGAATTTTAGTAACACCTATTGAATAGGAGCCTTCGGAATAAGGACCAAAATCAAAGGTGAACTTCCGGGGGAGCCTTCGATAGTAGTTGGATTGCCTTGAAAGAAACCTTCTGGTTTGGTGTCGAAGGGTGTTCCGTTGTGGACTG